CCCCCCCCCCAAATATTAAATGAAAATGTACTACATTTTTTCCCACATGGTGTTCTTGAATGCTTTGGAATCTGTGAGGACCCTGGCATAAAGAAACTGAAGCAAATGCACAATTAGAGACTGAGAGGTGTTATAGTGCTGCACTTACATTGCAAATGAAGTCAGATGTCTCCGTTTAATCAAATAGAGCCTCAACAGTCTCTGTTTTATGAGTATTAGAAACAATAAACAAATATACACAGAAAGTGTCACAAATGGTAGATCAGTTATTTAAATACAACTGTATCCAACATAGCAGCTAAACACTGGACAATGTTTGAGGTCATCAGCACATCCACATGCTCTTCTAAATGACGTTTAGGGTCCTGAAACACAAAGGATGCCATGAGAGGAATGACTGAAACACATCTCTGAAAGATTTCATTTACTTCAAGTCTATTTAAGATGTCTGTGAGTTAATGAACACAGGCCAGTAATGCTCCTAAATTTTCCACTCTAGGAAGACCTAGCAAATGACTGAATTTCCATGAACAAAATTTTATTAATTCCTGCTAACAATTAAGTTGAGCTTGGGTCTAGGAAGTAAATTTCTATCCAATATATCAAGAGTAACCGTGGCAGCTCTGAGTTAGTTTTAAGGACAACACACAACATGTGAATTTTACTATACATCTCACTAAGGCCAGTATTTTAATCTTAGTCCTGGTACATTGCAATAAATTTTCAGATCTTTGCACAAATGTGTGTTCTAATCCTGCAGAGATTCAAGTATCATCTAACACAGTCTTTGAATAGTTGTGCTGACTGCAAGAAAACTAATGTATCTATATTCATAAAAACATGAAACATGAACAATGCCCTGTTCAAATGCTCTTAGGAATTGAATGTTAAGCCTGAGCAGTTTTCTGAAAATACATATCCCCACACACTATTACTCAATTGATGTAGGCATTTGTGGGCATCTGCATGCAACAATAAGATTATTTCTGGTTGAAAATCATACCCATGCACTTCTTCAGTTTCACCACTGATATGAAATAATCTCCAAATACTGCAAAAATATCATGCATACCTCAAAAAGATGTCTAAACTTTATTACAGTACTAGTGTAGTCATTTCTGTGTGTAAAGAAATGAAAATATAGAAGACAATCATGCATGGGAATTGTAACTTCTTTAAAAGATGGAATTATTGTCAAAATGTAATGAACCCATCTAAATTTATATAAAAGAGTACCACTGAATCGGTATATGCTGCCATTCTCATGTAACTCCTTTTCAAAGATCAGACAGTTCTCCAATATTCTTTCTGTTCATAACCAATTATATACCTAATAACATAATATCCCTGTTGTGAGTGGTTGCTTGTTTACAAAGCTTTTTATGTAAGTTGAATAAAAAAACCCCACTTGAAAATTACTTCACTGAAGTAATTTTTTTTTTTTTTAATTTAAAGAAAACTTAAAAATTTTATCAGGAAAAATATTCTTTTCTTTTTGAACAACTGTTTCAAAATAGAGGTTTTTTTCATGTATGCGTAACAACTAGTGAAGCTCAAGTTCTGTTTGAGATGACATCATAACCCTTAAAATACAACCCTTCTTACATATTTTATATGTATATATTTATGTATGTGTAGGTGTGCATAAACTCCATTGTTCTGAATGCTACAGAAATACATGAGTGACTGAACAATAGTGCAGATGTGTTATGACATTGCTGCTAGAAGCTGACACATAAGAGCAATCCAGAATCTTTTAAATTCTTCTACTGCTACTAGCAATACAATAAGCACTGGTTCTTTAAGGACACACTAGATATTTTAAAAGCTATTTCTTGTTTCCATTGCCCTTCTTGAACACAAACTCTTACAAATTTGCTTTGCTCTCCTCCTGCTCACAAGAGCGCATTTCCTCCACCTTTATGTTGAAATCAAATGTAGAAATAGTTTTTTGTTGAGTCTTTAAAAAGACATTATATCCTAACATTGCAAAGGGATGGAGTGAATTGAGTGGGTATTTTTAGTTTCAGCTGTGGTCCTAAACAGCTTTCCTCCAGTACCAATACAAAGGAACTCAGCCTACCTGCCAAGTGTGTCTGAGAGCTAAGCACTGACAGTGTGTTCATGAACTGAAGACGGGTAAGCTGGCTCTTCAGCCACGGTAATGTACAAACACACCCCCTTCACCTCTGTTTCCATGAACACCATTTTTTAAGAGTCTCCACAGTTTGGGTCTCTCTGACACAGACTTGGATATCTTTATGTCTCTTAGAAGAAGTTAAAACAAATGAAGAAGGAAAAAGGAAAACTACCTTTCAACACTGCTCCTCACTATGTAATAAAAGTACAGGTAGAACATGGCTTGCAGATATTCTGTCAATTACCTAAAGTCAAAGGTCCTGTTCCCTGAACAATCTCCAACAAAAATAAATTTATTATTTGAAGCATTGAGAGTATCATGCACATAGAACTAAAATCAGCTATGCACATGTAAAAAATTAGTATTTAGAATGAACGAAGTATATCATTCCACCTCACTCTAATTCATCACACCTCACCTGCTTGCCAACATTTTTTATTGCCAGCTGTTCAGGTGTCATCTTATCTTCTTCTTCAACAGCCTGTGAAAGAAACACAGAAAAGGTCAGTGTTTCAGATTTCGTTTACTTTTTCCCCAAGCCACAGATTCTCAAAATACAATTCTGTTCCTTAAAAAAAATAGAGGGGAAAAAAAAAGAAAAAAATCAAACAGCAACACATTTCAGAAAGTCAAAAGAAAAGGTACTTCAGCTTTTCAGCAGACGTGGTTTTAATTACTGATAGTTAGTGCAAAAGATCAAGGCAAATACTTATGAATGGTTTTATTGTCAGATATTCACCAAAATGTTGTTAAGCAAAAATCTTAAATGAGTGGTACCAATAATTTAAGATAGTTGAAAATGGTTAAAATAGTAAAACAGAACCAAACCCAACATTATCTATACTTTTTCAACTACTGGAGATTGGATCTCAATAAATTTTTGTCCTGTTTAAAGTCATTTATTTTAATATATTTTGATTTTGTTACATTGCCTTCAAATACAGTGTTTTCATAAAGTTCATCCACTAACTTAACTAGTGAATATAATACTGAATGTTGGTTTTAAGCACTTCTAAGGAGTTAAAAAAATAACACTTGCTAAGAAATACTGACATGATGACTACTCATAGAATGCTTGTTGAGATCTAGTATTTGTAAGAAATACTTCATTGTGTCAGTATTAAAACAGTACAAGTAGCTATGATTCCTCTTACTTACAACAACAATAACAAATTTCTTATCTAAACAGAACATTGAATTGGGCCCTGAATGTGTTCTAAATACTTACAACCTATCTACTAGACAGATAGAGATAGATAACTTACTTTGCTACAGTGATCATATAGTTCTTCACTGAAGGATTGAAAAATATGACTAACTGCTCATTTTGATCTACAGAAATTTTATGTCCTTGTCACTAAGTAAAAATACAAAATCTATATGATTACTCACATTTCAAAGCAAAGCATCTAACTAAACACTTTGACAAAAGTTCAGGACAAAAAGTCTAATGGCAATGCCTGAGGAACTAATCTGGCAACTTCACACAGAAACCATACATAACTGATCAGTATGAACTACAGTCATTCTGAACAAAGCTTGTGATAATCAATTCCTTCTGAAATTAAGCAATTAATTTCTTCATTTCATAAACACAGCTATAGTTATACTATCATTATGGGATATGAATACCTTGTTATAATTCTTAGCTAATTCTAACATCTCCTTCACTACTGTTTCATTGAGTTTGCAATGTTCACTGTAGTCCTGAAGTGTCAAACCTTCCATCCAACTCTTCTTATGCAAATTTAGCAGCATCTGCAAGACAAAACCTCTTTAGAGCATTCACCATAAAATAATTTCAGACTATTATGAAGATCTCTTTGACAGGCAACCAGTTTATAGTAAGAATATAAAAAAATAATGATCTTACAATGTCAGTGTTTAAATAGAGGAAATACAGTGATCAACTGTTCTACTAGAGTAGATTTGCAGAACAAACTTCTTGAATCCTAAATATGAAAATGGGACATGAAAACATGGGTTATATTTACTTTGACAGGAATATGTAGATTCGTTTCCTGTGATTTGTTACTTTTGCTGCAGGTTGAGAATGCACAACTGCCTTGTAGCAGGGCTAAGAGAAAATTGAATACTTTAGCTGCCATATGAAGAACAGTTGAAGCTTTTGGCCTCTGACAAAGTTGAAAAATATTTTAATGTCTGGATTAAATTCATAAAGTAGTTACATAGGCTTCACTGATTATCTGATTGGTATGCAAGCAACTTGACAGTTGTGATAAACTAAACTTTGAAAGTGACCAAAGCATGACTTGTGTGCCTTTGCCTCATGCAGAATAAACAAGCATAAAAGCCGTAAGATAAAATGTGCAGAGATTTGATGGTGATAAATGCAGGCACTATTACAAATATTTGAAAGGTTTTACTTGACACTTTCATGTCATCTTGAAAGAGCAAAGGAATAGCTACAACAGCAATTTCTTTATTTTCATGAATAAAGGAAGTGTATTTTGTGGATCTCCTGCACACTTGATGACTGTAGGAGGACCCTTTCAGCAAATGGTTTCAGCTTGCCTTCAATTTGTGAACATGTACTAGATATTTTTGAGAACTGGTAATCCCTGTAATTGCTATCATATGAATAAAAGTACCTGTTTCATCCTATGTAGAGCTTCCAAAGAAACCTGGCTTTGGAACATGTGAACTGAGTTGAAAGTTTGTGTCATAATTTGTGTTAGCAAGATCTTTGCTACTGACAGAAGGAGTCGTAGGCAAACTGCATATGGACAGTTTAGCTAGGCTATCTTGATTTTAAAATTAAGGTTTGGTGTGATGAGCTCCTAATCGAATACATGAAGCATGTACTCTTCTTACTACAGATGGAGATAACAGATCACCACCACCACGAGGGGGGTTTGAGATATGTATGAAGCTGCCTCATGAAAGATGTGAGAGTTGTTGCCTCACAGATTAAAGCCTTCCTAACTTGGTCAAGATTATTCTCTTACTTTCAAAGGTAATAACTCACATATGTAAAGCCATTGATGAAAATACACACTTGGAACTTCAGACAAGGTTTGATTTGCCAAATTGTTGCATTTGACTCGAAACAAAAACCCCCTGGAAGCCTCACCAACATTTCCTGAGAGAGCTGGCTTTGTTGAATCAGTTAGTCTTTTCAGTAACAGTGAGGTCTTAGAAGCCTTATACTGCACTAAAAATGGTTGTGGATTTCACACATTCTTTCCAACTCCTTAATTTGCACACATATTCCTCCACTATTTGAAACTGCCTGTTTCTTATTACTTGTAACTCAAAAAGTTTGGATTGTGTGAAAAAACTACTCTGACCATTTTATCATAAGCTTTGAGATCAATTTATAACCCTAACAAGGCCATGAAAATGCAGACATATCAGAGAACATACAGAGAGGATAGAATCTGGCTTTTCAAGAATGAACTTCTGTAGATGATAAGTAAGCTTTCTTTACCCTTTTTTGTTTTCTTGGTTGAGACTCTCAAGCTAGATTTTGCATGTAATCTGAAGAAGTTTGATGCAAAAATAAAAAAAAACATTTGTTGTCAGTAACTTCATAATATTTCTTCTGAAAAATGCAGGACATCACTACTTCCTGATACTCAATGATGTCTTGGGGAGTTCCAATCATACCAACTGTAAGTATCTTCCAGTCAAAGCGATTACAGCAAATAAAAACCCAACATCCCTTGGGTATATATTCCATTTTGGAAAACACAGTTAAAAATTCTCCTAGCTTCAGGAATTCCAGCCTGTGAAAACTGAACGCAGCTTCATCACTGAAAACTTGAACCTTTGGACAAACTTAGGTGCAGAGAACAGAATGACAACTTTCCATAAAGTGGCCAAAAATGTTGTCAAACTATTCATATGGTCATTAGAATGTGGTTTTGGAAAGTTTCATCACCATGACTGTACATTCAGGTGCTTTCTGGAAGAAAAGTCGCCTATCCCAGTAGAGTTTAAACAATTACTGAAAGTAACAGCTGTTGAAGTCAGAATACTGCCACAAATTTTAAACAGTTTGTATAACGTTCCTGGTACTCTGAATTCCAGCTGAAACAATTACCTTCTGTTCTAGTTCATTCTTCCTGTAGTTGATGGTGATGGAATAGTAATGTCTGTTTAGTCCATGGATTAGTGCCTGCAAAATTTAGGGGAGAAACTGAATTAAATCACCCACCACTAAAATGAAGAAATATCAGAAGGACATAATTCAAGCTAATTTCAATATAAACATCTTTAAACATCACTCAAATAAAAAGAAAAAATTAAGACAAAAATACAGAGATTATAAGGAGATATGAAGTAAATATACCTGGTTCTATTTCTCTTTTTGTGTTCATTAATTGACAGTTATGTTTTCTATTTCTAAACCACAAATTTTTTTTCACACAGTAGCAACTATAATAAGAAAAAATGTTAACTGCCTTCAAACATTTGACCGATACATATGCACAAACATATTTCTCTCAAATACTTCCTCTCTCAATAAATTTGGTTATCACTCCTATTAAAATGTTCTATTAAAATATTCTGATACAAACAAAAGGCTATTTGCAATCTATTTATTTATAACCACTGTCAACGTTTCCAAGTTCATTCTCCAGGGTACAACATGAAGAGAGATTAACTGAAGCAAGCAAAAAAACCTCAGTTAGACAAAGTGCATTATTATTATTATTATTATTATTATTATTGATAAATACTTCTGTTTCACACATTCCACCTATTTATGTTTAAATATATATTTAGAGCAATACAAAATGAATGTGCATTTGCATCTTATGCAACTTAATATTTCAGCATTACAAAATTATCAGTATGAAAGCTGAAAATGTTTTCATACGAATATTTTAAAGGTTTCTACTGCAAACACATAGAAAGATAAAAGACTACTTGAAAAGTTGTGAGAATCAGCACTTACATAAAACCATTATTTGTGCAACTTATTTTAATTAGGCTTGTAAAATACAGCTTTTATCATCAATTAAGGAATTTATAGTTGAAACTATTAGCAGTAAGTAATTTCCACTGCCATTTTCTTATCTCACTCAAAATGACTGCATGTGAAGTTTTGGTGTTTATGTATAAACTCAGGTGTAGATATCTAGGAAACTTTCTCAAGTTCTTAAAATCTGACAAACAGGTTTGCCTTGTCCCAGTATCCTCTCCCTCTCCTCCCCGCTTCCAAAAACTACCCTTTAGAAGATTAGGCAAATGTAAAAGGTAAAAACTGTAAAGAAAGCTGTTGGTAAGGGAACACAAGAAAAAACCAAATGCATAAAAAGGGAATGAAGCCAAGGCATGTACTATTCTATTATTCTTCTTCCTGAAATATTAAGTAATGTCTTATAATTCCTGCTTCTAGCTCAGCTGAAATGAGTATTTAGTTTGCTTCTGTCCTCAAGTGGGTCAGAATTTTATTCATGGCTCAAAATAAAAGCAAAACAACACTTCAAGAGCTTTTGCAGCTTTAGGAACAGAGTATCATTTAAAATTATGATTTTTATCTTAACAGTGACATTTGCAACATCTCATTGCCAGCATGCAAAAATCAACACAAACAAAAACTACCCATTTTAATAACAGAAACCCAAAATCCCATGGCCAAAATATGACATGCTGTAGTGACAGTGATCTTAAAATAATGAAGCTGAACAATACTGCAGGGGTTTCCAAGGGAAAGCATTACACATGGTCTAGAAAAGCCCAGTTAGAAAAGCCCTGAAACATGCAAGCATGGGCTTGCCTGCATCCAATCAAGAGTATTAGCTGCTTATTTCATACTCATTATTGTTCACAGCTTTTGACCAACTCAAAAATCAAAAGTAAAACACAGCCTCCTGAAAGCAGACACTCTTGTGCTAGCATTTTTATCAACAGCGAAGAGTTTCAATGTATTAGTAACAAAAAACAACTTATCTTTTGCAAGATGGGGGTATGGTAGGTTAGGACCTCCCATAGGATGGCTCTCTTAGAGCACAAGTTCAGCCATTATTTCAGTTCTGCTGTGACTAGTGGGTGGTCTTTTTCTTGGATGTTTATCTAGCAAAATATTACTTTTATTGTTCAAGTAATGGAACAAAAAGCAGGAACTGGGTTTCATGGTTTCAAGGACACATACCTTTAGAATACATAGTAAGGGGGAAAAGTTTTTTAAAGGAAAAAACGCTGAGGCAGAAGAATGACAGGCATAAGAGCATTAATCACACCAGAGGATACTTGTTTCAGGATAGAAGCTATTTCTCAAAATAAAGGCTTGCTTCAGTGAAGACCAAAACTTCTATCGTTTTAATGAAAGTCAACTTCAGAAATCAAATTTTGTATATTTAAGCTTCACAAATGTGTATTCAAAAGAAACAGTACAGCAGAAGCCAATCAGGCATCCATTTTATCCATTGAACATATTGCACCATTTTTTCAGCAAACTACTGCATTACATAAAAATCAGAGATTAATTATTTAAGACACAATACAAGGCTTAATCTAGATTACATAATAAGCAAGAACCTTTATCAGCTTAGAGTAAAAAGAAAAGAGAGAACTTTTTCTATAATTTACTTGTAAATAACTTTTCTTGAAGAAAGCTGAGATGTTGATAAGCAGCAGTTTTTCAGCAGGGCTGGAAACAGCACCTGATTTGCATCACATATTATGTCATCAATTGTCACTTTTAAAAGTTTGCGTTTCCATAAATTCATATGTGAATCTTTGCTGTACACATTAAATGCATGCATTCACACTTAGCTAGCTAATTTAGGGCTCAATTTTAAACCCCTCACATATACATGTCCATTGACGAATCCCATCAATTATAAACACATGTGGAAAAATGCAATAGAGAGCAAAATAAATAATTTGTAACCTACTGCTTTAAGTACCTTTCCTAAAAATTGATGAATAAATCTTGCAGTTTACAGGGCTATCAGCACTATGTTTACCTGGATAGATGGCTTGTTTAAGTGACCCAGATTTGAAGTTGTTTGTCTTGGTTCATGTCCTAAGACCATCATATTAGCATTGATCAATCTGAAGGCATCAATAACAACCTGTAAAAACAAGATGTCAAGTCAATTCTTTTTAGAAAACGCAACTAATAGAGCCAAGCAACAGTGGACAAGGCACAATCAACTCTCATCTGTTTTTGGCCTTTATCCAGAAAATCATTTAATTATAATATTAATAAAAAAGAACCTCCTGCTGGCTATGTGATCAGCACACTGCACTACCTTGCATCGTAAGGTGACACTGATTATTACCTTTTCCATGGAACTGTAAGTTTTATATACATTATATCATCCCATAACATTGGATTTTATGTACACTTACTCTAAGCCTCAAAACTATGCATATGTTTGTCACCTAAATCTTATCCAATCAAAATGAATGACAGAGAGAGACTAAAACTGAAAGTGAGCACAAGCTAAGGGACCAAGTCTAAAGCCCAGTCCTGTCACATCAATTATACTACCACAATACTTGAAATGACAACAAAATTATAGCCAGCAAGGAACTTGCCCCATGTATTCCCTTCTAGTCAGATGCTTTTTGCTTCTTGTGACTACGAAAGGGTCTATAAACTGTCTGATGGATTAAAAAGTCCTTGTCAGTGTCATGCTCAGGAGTAAAAAAATAGAGAAAAATAAAACCAAGGTCATTTATGATTTAAAGGTACACAGTAGGAAGTATTCAGTGCTATTTTAGTGCAAATAATGTAAACCCATCACCAATTCTTACTCTGTCCTCTGCTAAATTTGTCTATGAAAATTTTTGGAAAGAGAAATTCATGATCCTATGCAATAAACTCCCACCCCTATCCAAAACCTATAGGAGCTGAAACAGACCTAAGAATGTACCAACAATACACTCAAACCCATCCTTATTGTGTCCTGATCAGCACGGGTTCGTAACGGCAAGAATTCTTGCTTAGGTTCCAGTCTTTTAACTGGACCAGTGCAAGTACAGCCTCACACGTCCACTGAAACAGTAAAACAGTACCAGGCAGACTTTGCAGGCATCTTGTCTGCATATGTTTATAGAGTTATTAACTTAAATCTCCTTTTAACAGCTTTTCTATAATAATTCTTATTCTTTTCTTCTCTGTACTATGAGTTGGACAACAACAGATGCATTTACATGGCTGGTTTGATATTTTGAAGAGTTAGAGTTGAACCTTGTTTACATTAAACAAACAAGAAACCAACCACAGTCACTGAAAGTCTGTGGAGAAATTGACACTGACTCTCCCACCTCCTTCCAGCATTTTCCTCTCCATTTACACAAATATTAATAACTAAATAATATGCAGCTTTTAGGATAACAAGAAAAAATATTGATGTCCTTCATGTGGAAATGAAATTATTTGGCAAGTATTTATAACAAAAAAAATCATCAGGTGTAAACAGAAAAACCCACAAACTTATCACCTGTTCTGATTTACTTTTGAGACCCAAGTGAGACAGTAGTGTTGACTGAGTGCCACTAAGGGCTATTGCTTATTCTCTTAGCTGCTGGCCAGATCCACCTGCATATGCCCTGTCACAATTCAGATTTAGAATGCAGCAGAAGCGTGTTGATATCAATGCTACAAAAAAAGGAATTCCATTTAAAAAAATTCTCAAAAATATCTAAAACAGTTACTACATATCTATAATTCTTTCTCATAACAGAAGAAGCAATTGGGTTTGTTTTTTTTTTTATTTTTTTACCACTTTTCTCTATTTTAGAACACTTGTGACAAGCTTTTGTATGTATCTTTGTATTCCATTTTAACCTGATGCTCTAATTTATCAACACCTGGAAATGCCCAACCATAACAAACAGGCAGTATAAATTAAAAAGTCATGCAAAGCAAGAAAAAAAACAACAAAAAAACACACACCACCAGTTCTCCAGAGACTAGCTAGAGAATGGAAAAAAACAAAGCAAGCAAAAATTTACCCTGAGGAGCAAGAAACATGAACTTGGCAGTATACTAGAATGATACAGAGTTGCTTCATAGCTTATTAACAGCTCCACTTCTAGACCTGAATTTAACTGAGAACTTTACTAGGCATTGCTGAGCTTATCCAAAAAGATAAGCTCATTGTCCAGCATGGATTTGTTTTGGGGCTTGAGCCATGTAAAAAAAAAAAAATATTAAACTTTTTTTTGTCAAGAAAATTCAACATTCTGGTTAGAGTTTTCAGATTAGTTAAATTTCACATTAAAATATGAGAATAAGTTCATGAATTATTTATGAGTGATACTGAATATTGCTCAAACATCTTAATTCTGACCAGAAGTAACTTTCATTATGTTTCGGGTACAAGCTGCATGGGAATACACTGCACTCTCTGTCCTCCTGACGGAATGACATGTAAGTATTTCCTAAGAAGAACAAATATAAATCTAACAGAAAGCAGTAGGAAAAACTGAAATCACAAACCAAACATTATGCTTTTAAAAGTGATAAAATGGCAATTCCTACAATCTCAGAGAGGTACAAAAAGTACACATGCAAATGCTATTTTCCATTTTAGTGGCACTCTGATGACCAATGGTAACTAAATACTTTAACTACACTAAGATTAAAGGAATTTGCTGCTATCACTATAGCAACCATCTTAAAGAAACTAACATGCTCAGCAACCTGGAGGCTAAATTTAGACCTAATACACAATAAAAACATAAATACAACAATAAATCCTACATATTAATTTCTATGCAATGTAGTTGCTTTTATCATAGCAAGCATAAATCAGTCCCGCCTTTAGAGGATTACATAAAAATAAATAGACTCATTAATGTCCAGTGTACTAATGAGCAATGGGTGAAGTAGGTGTTAATTACGCCACAGTAAGATCCAAGAAAAAAGCCCTAGTGAGCACTTGGAGGTGTGTACAAGTTGAAGTCTCCTGTCTATGTTTGTGTATTTCGAAGTACAGAATGATGCAGGCTGATGACAGAAACATGGTCACCCCCTATTCTATGATGGAAACTTTAGACACAGTATTTTGAACAAAGAACTTCTAAGGATTAATTAAACCCAGCACAAAATCACCACTCAGTTGCTCAGATTTTTGTTGTAAAAAGTCAGTATTTCCCAACCAAAAAATTTAAGGTTTCATTGTACTTAAATTACATATAAAATATAATACAGCATGTACTCTTTGAGTAAAAATTTGTTTCCAAGCTTCATGCTAAATTCCTTTTCTAAAAAGACATTAAAAAGTTAACCAGAAGTCTATGCTATTAGGATGTTTTCCAGAAATTCAAAGGTATTTTTTTTTTAATGCATTTCCATAGTGCAACTCTTTCACCACTCTGACCATTTAATTTTTCCTTGTGTAAGTGTCTCCAGACTTTTCAGAGGTCATTTCAACAGCAGACAGCTTATAACAAAACCATTAGCAGTTTGGCTAGCTTAAGGAAACCTCTTACTTTCCTTTTTTGTTTATTATCACTGCATGAATCTGCAGCATATGAGAGTTTATAATTTCTCAGGCTTGTTAAATTCATGTTAAAGGTCTGTTTTCTTGTTGAATAAATTTTGTTCATATAATGCTGCCTATTTCATATACTGAGTCTTTAATAGCACCTTTGGTCTATGCGCAACTCACAGATCAAAACAGAGGACTAAAATAGGGGTTGATGATGCTATTTACATGTGTGATTCCTGCTGTCTTCTTGTTAGTAGCTTTAATATAATAGAAGACCTTGTCTGTTTTGTAATTAACACATCTTTACTGGAGAGATATTTGGAAGTGATTGCTGTGAATATACTGGTTAGTAAAATAAACACAATCACACACCACTTTCTGTTATCAGACAAATTTGTGAATTGTACACATTATACTCCAGATCAACAAACTGTGATATAACAGCCAAGTAGAAGACACATTTATATAACCCTTTATTTTTCTGAAAATATGTATTCAATCTGACCTTGCAAATATAATTAGCTTGTGGGATGTGTGGATTTCAGTACCATGGATGCTTTACTAATTGCAGTTCTTGGAAATAGATACTAAATATTTGGAAGCTGCCAATACAAAATAAAAACTGCATCTTTTTGTACATCTGTCTTAGCTTCAAAATGCATAATAATCTAAAAAACAATAACTATACAGTATTTTTTTAGCATTTGCCGGGGGTCAACAGCCCACACTAGAGTCCACAGAATGTATTTTTAAAAAGAAAATTTACGATTATGTCCTGTGTAAATTTCAGGACAGCTATAATTAAAATGATTAAAATTTACTTGCAATCTAAGATGAGCACTGGGCACCTCAACTACTAGCTAGACAAAAATCTGGTCTCTTATAGCCTCCACACAGTTATTAAAAGTAATGACTTGATTAAAATTTAGGTTATTTAGTAGCCAGACTTCTTTTAGCTTCTCCTGAAAGTGTGAATGCTATCACTCTTTAGTTTCTTACTATCAGATAATGGTAACAATTGAATATTATCAGTTTTTCTAAAACAGTCTTCATAACTTTGTGGGGTATCAAAAAAAAAAATAAAAAGGATTAATTCAAGAGTACTTTACACATTTGATTCTTATATCCTTCCAATACTAAATTTCCAGACAGTACTGAATGAAATAGTTCTGTTTTTCAAGTCTCACTATATTTTAGTGGTAAACTTCAGTTAGGTGTAAGTCAGCCTTTATTGCTTAAATTTTAAAAAAATCTAACAATAATATTTTTCCAGTGAAGAATCTATGGCATATGGTGACTATCTTTAAAAAAGCATTGTGTCCCTGGAATTCAAATAGCGATGTATTGTTTATACTGTATGTTTATGAACAAACATACCAGTGCTTAAAGACAACTGCAAAAGATTGAGTGTGGTTATGCCAGGTGTGGAAAATGAAGTAATGTCCCATCTAAAATCTCTTTTATCACCTGCAACTGACCTGTTATCAACTGCTTAGTTTGTTTCTAGAATCTTTAAAAATGAAATGGAACACGTGACCAGAGAAGTGCAGCTCAGGTTTATGACCATTTCGTTATTTATGCTGCCATGCACTGTTAGACAACTACAAGTGAAGAACATCTTCTGTCCC